AATAGTTTAAATTTAACTTTAAAAAATTAAATTAGTTTAAAGTATTATGATATATATATATATATATATATATATATATTCTTATTAATAAGTTAAAATTATAATACAGTATAATAATAATTATTTAAATGAAAATTGTATCGCGATGTAATAATACTTTTGAATTTTTATTATGTCGAGACACATATTATATCATAACGATTTGTCATAACAATTCAACAAATTAAAATTATGTCAACGCATAATAAAAATTATTTTCATTTTAATTTATACATAATTTTAATTTACTGCATTATTATTACGTATGAGAAACAATAAAAATTCGAAATTATTTATGTCGGGACATAATTCTAATTCAGAGAATTATGTCGCGATATAATTTTAACTTATAATAATTTCGACATAATAATAATTGCATGAATTAAAATTATATCGTGACATAATAATAATTTCAAATTTTTATTATGTCAAAACATAATTTTAATACAAGAAATTATTATTATATCGTGACAATTTATACTATGCTTCGACATAATATAAATTCAAAATTATTATGTCTTAACATAATAATAATTAATGACTTTCGTGTTTTTAAATATTTTTTTAAATTACATTAATGATTTTCGTTACAGGTGTTGTATATCTAAAAAACTTGTATCTCAAAATCATAATTATTCCAGAAATTAGGATACTTTTCTGGTGATACGCCACGCCGAATTTTTGCAATCAGTCTTTTTGATTTCTTTATATAATTCGATGAATTAAAATTATTCCTCGACATAATGTAAATTCAAAATTATTATTATGTTGAGACATAATACTAATAATTTTGAATGTAATAATAATTTTAATTCAAGCAATTATTATTATGTCGTATCATAATAATTTTATTCTATTATATAATAAGAATCGTAATCCTTTTTAGACAATCATTTTTTAAAATTTTAACATTCGACACAATTTTTTAGATACTGTTAAAAAGTAAAACAGCTTGCCATAAAAAATGGTCTCTTAGCAATATTTCAGAAGAATATTAATTTTTAATTACTATTTATAAGATTTTAAGTGTAAGAATTCCATACATTTTTTATTGCATAGCTATTTCTGAATTAATAAATATTGCAAAAATATTTTGCAATATTTATGAAACATTTCAATTCTATCAAATAAAACATTTCTATTAATGGAATTCTTTTTCTCATTGATTTTGGTGGACTTTAGATATGTCAAAATAGTCGAAATAATAAGATACGTATATTAATTGATACGTATTCTTTTAATCGGCTTCGAATGTTTTAGGGATTGAAATTTTTTTTAAAGAAATCCCATATATTTGATTATTAGTAAAGATCTCTGAAACTATTCCCACTTTTCAATATTACGTTTGCAAATTTCGAAATTTTTATAATCAAAATTATAGAGGATTTCATGTCGATTCTATATATGTAATATCTATGTATAAGAAGGGAGGGTGTGCGTCACGGCGGGGTCCGACCACGAACCAGTCGTGAAAATTCGTAATTATTTTGCGAAAAAATACCACCTCAGCCAGGAATCGAACCTGGATCTCCTGCTTACCGAGCAGGCATCTTATCCTTTCGGCTACCGAGGCATGTGATGATATTTATCGCAATAACGTGTTTAGAACAACAAGTCAACAATACAATGACATACACACATATACATATATTACAATATACATATATATATGTATATTTTCTCGAATCCCCACGACCGGTACTCCAGAGCGATGTTGGTCTCTCACTCGATGGATGCAGGTCGGACTGCAGCGGCGACACCCTCCAACGCCATTGGCAAATATACAAATAATCCTCCTGGAGCACGACAGGAAAGATTGCATCAAGCATGGCTTGAGCCCCCGAATAAGAAGGGAGGGTGTGTGTCACGGCGGGACCCGACCACGAACCAGTCGTGAAAATTCGTAATTATTTTGCGAAAAAATAATATATGTAATATCTATGTATAATAAAAATAATTATCGAAATCATATTTTTGAAATATGAATTGGACATATCGCTATATGTATCACACCATAAGGCTATAACGATTCACCCGAGTCATCTTCTCCCGTGATTAGATCGGCGTAAATTATAATTTCTCGATCGACAATCCGTCGGACAATCCATCTTCCTGGATCTCATCGTCGACTTATTCGCATAGTCTAATCGAAGGTTCATGTGAGCAGTACATTAATCATAACAATCCGCGCGTTGGGCCACCGCCGCTGGCCCTGCTACCGACCACGCCACCGAGCAGATTCATAGAATCGCCGAGTTCGTTCGGCGAAATTCGCGGACCATTTGGCAAATCATTCGTGGAGTCAACCTCTAGATCCGAAAAGCAAAAGAGTGATCTTCGTAGGCTACGACAATGACTCAAACAACTATCGGTTGTTCGATCCAAAAACAAAATAGATAAAGCTCTCTAAGAATGTATTGTTCAATGAAAATGAGCTGGCGATATTGAAAGAGAGAATGGAACTGAATATTGTTTCACTTTTCCATTCGACCCCTACAAAACTCCAAAAGCTCAGGTCGAGAATTTACCGTAGAAAGAATCCTTGGAACGCAGAGACATCCCCGAATCTGAACCGGATGAAAGTGAACTATTGCTCAAGACCAATTTAGATATCGGCTCCGCGATAGAGAAACATTAAGGATACCCGTAAGATACGAAGTAAATTTTATTGACGTAGACCCCGCAGTCATTTAAGGAAGCACTGCAGCGCCACGATGCCGATCAGTAGTTAAAAGCGATCAACGAAGAACTGGGTTAATTTAAACAAGAAGAATTGGATTAATTTAAGCATTAAACAAGAAGAATACCTGGAAACTGACCCCTTTGCCATCTGATAAAAAGGCCATAGGATCCAAATATTTAAGATTAAGAAAGATTCGAACGGTGACATCTCTTCCCAAAAAGCGAGAATGTGTGCGAAGGGATTCTCTTAGCAAGAAGAAATCGATTACAAAAAAACATTCTCACTCACGACAAGATTCAGTCAGAATATTACTCGCTATTGCAATTCATAGAGCGTACGAGGTCAAGTATTATAATTCGATGTCAAAAACCTCATTTCTCAATGGTATGTTGGAAGGAAAGGTATACATCCAGAAGTGTAGATGTGAAAAAAAGATATGTATGCGAGTTAAAGAGGTCCCTTAACTTGAAGCAATACTCTATGTTGGAACGACACCTTCAACGAATTTATGAAGAATGAAGAATTTCACCAATGCGATAGTGATAAGTGTATCTATGTTGGAAAGATTCTTGATGTGAGTGTTTATCTTCTTCTTTACGTGGATGGCTTAATAAAAATAAGAAAGCCATTGAAATTCTTCTAGACAAAATGAAAGAAAGGTTTGAGATAAGGACTTGTCACCCAGACTACTTCGTTGGATTACAAATATCGAGACAAGTCAACGGATCAATCGGACTTTATCTCGAAGCGTATATCTTCAACAAATTGTGGATAGATTCAACATGCAAGAGACCAGATCGAGTTCGATTCCAGCTGATTCAAGTGTGAATTTACAGGCAATCACTACAGGTACTCAGGAATACTGTACCCTCTATAGAGAAGCGGTGGGCTCCCTTACCTTTGCAAGCATTGTGAGTTGTCCTGACATCGAATTTGCCGTAAACAACGTAAGCCGATACGTCGAATGAAACGATAGTTCCCATTGGCAAGCCGCAAGAAGATTCTCAGATATTTAAAATATATAATAAAATAACACTAACGGCAATAGTCAAGAACCCATAGAAGTAATTGGTTATGCCGATGTGGATTTTGCAAACGACATACAAAGTGGAAGGTCGACTACCGGATATATATTCTTGATCAATGGTGCGCTCGTTACTTGGACCAGTTCGAGACAGCGTGCGGTTTCTCTCTCCAATACAATAAAAGCAGAGTACATAACGGCAGTTTCAGTCACCCAAGAAGCAGCTTGGATACAACTACTACGACGACTACGACGACTATTAGGTGAGTTCGGTGAATCATTAAAAGAACCGATTCCACTTTTTATCGACAACCAAAGCGCGATACACTTGATC